CACCGGGCGCGGTGGCTCAAGCCTGTAATCCCAGCATTTTGGGAGGCCGAGGCGGGTGGATCACGAGGTCAAGAGATCGAGACCGTCCCGGTCAACATGGTGAAACCCCGTCTCTACTAAAAATACTAAAAATTAGCTGGGCATGGTGGCACGTGCCTGTAATCCCAGCTACTCGGGAGGCTGAGGCAGGAGAATTGCCTGAGCCCAGGAGGTGGAGGTTGCAGTGAGCTAAGATCGCGCCATTGCACTCCAGCCTGGGTCACAAGAGCGAAACTCCGTCTCAAAAAAAAAAAAAAAAAAAAAGCCCCTTTCTCAAAAGATTACCCTACTACTTCATTTAGAAGCCGTCACTACCTCAGCTTCTCAAGATTTATCTGTATCTTTATCCATCTTCTCTCCTTTCCCTATGTCACTAAACTGTTCTTTGATGCCATCCCCTCTCTCCCATTTCTACTGGGAGCTCCCTCCATTACCTCCTACCTGATATATATTCAATCTTTCCTTCTCCACCAACCCCCTTCCTGTTCCCTACCAACCTGATTTAAGTCTCTCACATTCTTAAAACAAACAAGCCTTTCTACCTAATTTCCTACTCGAGCTTGTTCCAGAAATCTTTCCTTCCCATCTCATTTTATCAGCTTACTTTTGCTGCCCTCATCTCCTCACCACCACTCATTCCTCCGGACTGTTGAAATTTGGCTTCTGTCTACTGCTGGCTACCCTACTAACCACTCTCACTACCAGTAAAAGTGGTCTCCTAATTGCCAAATCCAGCACCCTCATTCGACTTTAACTCTCTGAAAGACTTTTTTTTTTTTTTTAAACTCTCCTCTCTTTCTTCCCAATCCTGTCACATTCTTAATCTACCTAACTGTTCACTATATCTCTTCCTCCCCATTTTGAAATTAGTTGTGGCCGGGCACAACGGCTCACACCTGTAACCCCAGCACTTCCGGAGGCCGAGGCAGGTGGATTACCTGAGGTCAGGAATTCGAGACCAGCCTGGCTAACATGGTAAAACCCCATTTCTACTAAAAATGAAAAAATTGGCCAGGCATCGTGGCATGCACCTGTTATCCCAGCTACCCAGGAATCTGAGGCAGAACTTGGGAAGCGGGAGTTGCAGTGAGCTGAGATGGCACCATTGCACTCCAGTTTCCACAACAAAAGCAAAACTCCATCTTAAAAAAAAAAAGGAAATGAAATTAGTTGTATGTAATTTAGGACCTTCCTCACTCTTTGATTTGCAGTAGCTTTAAAAAAGTTTTAAATAATCAAAGAAAATAGAAAAAAAAAAAAAAAAAAAAGAAGACCTTCCTCACTCTTTTCTGTGGACATTTCCATTCATTCCAATGACTTCAACTAAGATCTCTGCAAATAATGCAGCTTTATCATAACTAATTGTAAGTTCTCATCTTGAGCCTCAATTATCATTCATTACACTTCCAAGGCAAAGCAGACATCACCTGGACCTACTGCAACATTTAAGAAAGGTATGCCATCGGGGACACTAGTCCCTTAAGATGAAACTGGGGAAGAAAACACACACACACACACACACACACACACACACACGAAGTAAAAACAAAAAAATAAATAAAAATTTAAATAAATAAACTGGGAAGGAGGAGAGTTTCAAAATCAAGCACATTTGATAAATGCTGCATACTCTTTCTCTTGGAGAGGTACAATGTATAGCAGCACATCAAAGGCTCTGAAAAATTCTTGCAGTGAAGAAAATTTTCTAACCACAATTACCACATTTATTTGTCCATGGAATCTTTTTTAAGTAAGTCCAATTAATGTCCTGTAGCAGTAAATGAAGTTAAAACTATAGATTTTGTAATTAGAGACCACATTTTGAATTTTGACACTGCTTCTTACTAATCTTTATCCTGCCCCTAAATCCCAGTTTTCTCATCTGCAAATGAAAAACAATTACAAGGCTTTTGTAAATATTGACGTTTGTAAAGTTCTTAGCACAATGCCTAGTGCCTAAGTACTTAAAGAACATACATATCCTTAGCTACAAATGAGAGTGACACAGGTCTCCAAGAATGCTGCCTGAAGCAATCAGCTGCAAACGCTTTCAAATTTACTTGAAGTTTCCTGTTTTGATTCAAAAATTCATTTGAAAATTGCAGTTATGGGTCTAATATAGTTGTGTTATATTTTTGTTGTTAAGCGCTTTTAACGGTCATTCTCCCTTGCTCGCGCACACTTTATTATTTCATTCAACTTCAGTGAACCTGTCTCTGATGCCAGTCATTTTTTAAAAGGTATGACCATAATATACTGCTTTTGGTATATTATAGTTATCAGTTATGTGAGTTACAAATACATGTATTTAGTTTAAACCAGCTGGAATTGGGTTTCTGCTACTTGCAATTGAAAAAGTTCTGAGCAGTAATGCACTGTGAACATTTTACAGTTCTTCCTTGTTTCGGAGAAGGGTTAGGGCCGACTAATGTAGTCTCACAGAAAAAACTTCAAATTTTGTATTTTATTTTCTCTCTGCTGCTACCCATCTTCCTTCTACCTCTTCCTCCTGTTTTATTAATCAAACTCTTCTGTGTACTTGGGAAACTTTGATGACTATAAATGTCACTTCACGGCTGGGTGCAGAGGCTCACACCTGTAATTCCAGCACTTTGGGAGGCCAAGGCAGGTGTATCACCCAGGGTCAAGAGGCCGAGACCAACCTGGCCAACATGGTGAAACCCTGTCTCTACTAAAAATACAAAACTTAATCAAGTGTGGTGATGGACACCTGTAATCCCAGCTACTTGGGAGGCTGAGGCAGGAGAATCACTTGAACCTGGAAGCAGGAGGTTGCAGTGAGCAGAGATCATGCCACTGTGCTCCAGTCTGGACAACAGAGCAAGACTCCGTCTCAAAAAAAAAAAAAAAAAAAAAAAAAATCACTTCATTTGGGTTCCAGTTAGCAACAACTTACAATGAAACGGCAACTGCAGGCATACAACCATTACACAGAATCAACCAACTGATCATGTTATATTTCTGAGAATTTATATCCGGAAGTTAAATATATACTATTAAGAAAAGCATAAGAGGCAGTGAAGACCTAAAATCTAAAGTATAAAATAAAAAAGCAACCAAATTTAAAAAAGCAGAAGCGTACTTAAAAATTAATTTGTGCACATCTTAAAACCAGAGGCATACTGGTGAACAGCTAGGTAACATCAGAACTGAGAATGGATTTTATTATACCTGCCTTTTCAGAAAGGGCGGCTCCAAAAGAGATCATGAGAAAAAGAAAACAAGAAATAAACAGAGATATAACTAACATAAATGTCAATGTCTTTTAAGAATTAAAAGCTTTATTACCAAAATTCACTTCTCACGACTACTGACATCAAGTTACCGTGCTAAATAAATCAATCTAAGTGTAATCAGGTCAAGGAGATGTGACTTGAAGAGGCAAACATCTTGCCTTTCCTCCCCAAAAATCTATTAAACGTAGATGAAATGCATTTCTTTTAAAAAGGTTGTGCATCTTAAACGAAGATATGATTATACCTAAAGTTCTGTGTTAGGAAGCATGCGAATGACACCAGCTAAAATGCATCGTGCATTTTCCTCATGTGTCCATTTTACTTAGAGGTTTGGTGGGGGGTGGAGATTATTAAACACTCATCAGCGGAGGCATATACATACATATATGTATAAACATACATATATATCATTTATACATGTGCTTTCAAAGGAAAAAACTATTATCTCCAGAATACACAGCAAAAACATCGATAGCGTTGGTTGCCTAAGAAAAGGGATTTCAGGTTTTTAACTGCTTCAAGCAGTATCCCCAGCGATCCATCATCACTCTCCTTGGCAATTAAGGCTGAAAGATGTTTGAGGCGCACGGCCACAGGGCACTCCTAAATGAAACTGGAATTGTTTACACTGTCTCTGCAGAAATCAACGGCACCGTAAGAAACAGAAAAATGAAACGAAATAACTGATTCACTGGGTGTTAGCTTGCGTAGCGGACTGCAAGCAGGAGAGTCGTCCCTGTGTGTCCCTCCCATCCACAGGACTTAACACAAGGACTTGAGGACCCCTTAATGGATGAAATGTCTAACAAAAACTTCTCGGCTGGGACGAGCTCTACCTCACGTCTTTGCAACTCGACTTTCTTGTGTCCAAGACGTCGTACACAGAACTGAAGGTAACCATTTAAAACAGAGTAACAAAGTGATTTCGCAAACAAAAATAGGCTGAAAATAAAAACACAACGAAAGCACGGCTGGGAATCCTTTGTTCGACTTCGCAGTCCCTTTCGGAAGACGCAGAGGCCGGTGCGCGGGCCTGCCGAGCAGAACGCGGCCCGGCGGGGCGCGCCCGAGCCCGGGAGCCGGTCCGCAGCCGCACCTGCGCCCCGCCGCGGCGGCCGGAGGCCGGGGGACGGGGCGGGAGCGGGGGCGGGAGCGGGCGGGGAGGGGGCGCGGAGCCGGGACTCGCAGGGGCGAGGAGAGCGGGCTCGGGCGCCGAGACGCTGAAACGGAGCCGGAGCCGCGGCGGAGTGACGAGGAGGGCGTGGCAGAGCGTGGCAAGCCAACCGGGGGGACCCGCGGGCCGCGGAGACTCCGGGAGGGGCTCGCGGGACGAGGGGGACGTGAAAGGGGCTCGGCGGGGAGCGGCGGCCGAGGCTCCGATGACAGCTCGGGCCGGGCCCCCGGCGCCGTCCCCCGCGCTCGCCCCGCCGCTCCCCGCCCCGCCCCCGCCCTCGCCCTCGCGGCTCGGGGCCGCAGCCCCAGCTGCCGCCCGCGCCTCCCGTTCGCCCGGGGTGGGCGACAGTCTGCCCGACCCTGCTCCGACCCTTTCTCACCGGATGAAGATGGCCGTCGCCCGAGCCTCCTCTTCTCCATCTTTTCCCGCTGCTGAAATCTCAGCTGCAGGCGCTGTCACCTCAAGACCCCTCCGGCTTGGAGGAGGGAGGGGGAGGGGGACGGGGAAAGGGGAAAAAAAAAAAAAAGAGCCTGCGAAGTGCGGAACGCGCCTGCGCGGGAGCCGCCGCCGGCCCTCTGACCGGAAGTCAGCCGCGCCTCCCAGCTGCAGCCGGAAGTCGCTTCCTGGGACTTTTCCCTGCGGGCCGCTCCGTCCAGCGTTTTTTTCGTGGCGCTTATTTCGTGATCCGAGCCGCTCTGGGGAAGGGAACCACCTGGGTGCGCGATTTTAGCTTTGTCGACGTGAACGATTAGAGTGACAAAAATCAAAAGGGGAAAACAGGAAGTCGTGCCGGCCCGCTGGATCTCGCGAGGGGCCCGGTGGCTCTGAAGTCGGAGGTTCGCGTCCGCAGCGTGGGTTCCCCGCAGCCTCTCCTCCGCGTCTGCCCGCAAGGCGCTTCCTCTAACGCAGAAACAAAAAGGTCTTAAGATGGCAGAGTCACCTGATCATAGCCTCGCTATTCGTTTAGCATTTGGGGCGGAAGTCAGTCAGTTGACGAGGAAAAACAGGATTTCTTCTTAAAATCCAAACTCATCATCTTTAAAGTTTATTAAAAGCGGGAACTTAATTTGTCAATAACCGAAATGCTGAGATGACAAAGTGGGCGTCTATAAACTGGAATTTGTTCGATTAACGTTTATCACGATGCTTACGGGACTAAGCTAGTCCTCACTGAACTCCACGCCCAGTGCTATTAGCCTGCTTGGCCATAATGGTACATAGCTGAATAATTTTTAAATCAACGTGTAAGATTTAATGACGATTTAATCACAAGTTTAACAAAATTCAGCACAGTGCTCTAAGCAGGGAAAATGCTCCTGGCATGTTCCAAGACCGAAGGGAATCTAGAAATAGTTTCCCAAGCCACCCCTTTTATACCCGTAACTCCTAGCCCTCTAACCCCCATCTCCCACCCGGACAGAGTCAATAAAGGGATCAGCCCAACTCACTTGTCCACTAGAGCAGTCAAGCCTTAATTATAATGTGATCAGTGCCCAGGTAGAGGTAAGGCCCCGGGTGTCGTGGGGTATTGGGCTTGGGGAAGTGTTTTACATGGCAGGCATGACTGCAAGGCAGAAAATACTTTATGGCTTGCTGGGATTGAAGTTAAGTAAGGATTTCACTTCGTTGGTTTATTTGGTTAATTTCTGTTTAACAAAAACATTATTTACTGAAAAATTGAATTTTCTGTTTCCTCACAAATCAACTTTTTTAACTAAAGACCATAACCCAGGGGTTTGATACAAGGCTGGGCAATATAGTGAGACCTCCTCTCTACAAAAAAAATTTTAAAACTAGCCAAGCTTAATGGCGCATGCCTATAGTCTCTTCTACTCAAGAAGCTGAGGCAGGAAGACCACTTAAGTGAGTTACTTTTCATTTAGGTTTCTCTTAGGTGATGTGCGCTCCGTGCGTTAATAAACTTCTTTCCGGCCAGGCGCGGTGGCTCAAGCCTGTAATCCCAGCACTTTGGGAGGCCGAGGCGGGTGGATCACGAGGTCGAGAGATCGAGACCATCCCGGTCAACATGGTGAAACCCCGTCTCTACTAAAAATACAAAAAAATTAGCTGGGCTTGGTGGCGCGTGCCTGTAGTCCCAGCTACTCAGGAGGCTGAGGCAGGAGAATTGCCTGAACCCAAGAGGCGGAGGTTGCGGTGAGCCGAGATCGTGCCATTGCACTCCAGCCTGGGTAACAAGAGCGAAACTCCGTCTCAAAAAAAAAATAAAAATAAAAAAATAAATAAATAAACTTCTTTGTTTTTCTCTTGTTACAAGGGTTCATCCCAACTAAGAACTCATGAGGATTAAGGAAAAAATTATTTTTCCTCCCCTACACTATTCTAATCCATTCTTTGGAAAATTAAGCATAATAATAGTTCGATTCTCTTCCTCTTTATTTTTGAATTATGTTGAATTTGCTTGAGAGAGATGGTTTATCTTGATTTGCAAAAGACAAAGCATATATAGATAAATTGACGTGTGGGATATTCTCTAAGAATAATTCATAAACCTTTGACATTTATTAAGTTCAGAAGTATAGAAAAAGCCTCTATAATTTTTCAAAGCTTTGTGTTCATCTTATGTGTTAATATATTGCTAGAGGACTTTTAAAGTGTGCTTTCTTTGGCAAAAAAAATTGTAAAATTCTAACAATATTTAAGTGCCGACTGTGCAACAGACAATATTCCAAGAACTAGAGATACAGTAGTGAACAAAACCAAGTCCCTGTTCCTGCTATCATGGAACTTACGTTCTAATGGAGAGTAGACAATAAGCAAATATATGTTAGTTGGTAATAACTGCTTTAAAAAAAAAAAAAGAAAGGGAGAGAGTTGCTCTGGCAGATAGACTGCTCAAAGAGAATCACTCTGATGAGATAGAGTGGGCAGAAACTTTAAAGTAAAAGCCCTGTAGATATCTATAAAGGGGAAGAATATTCTAGGTTGTGGCCACGGTATAAGTGAATACCCTTAAAACAGGAGCTTGCTCCACAAATTGATGGCAAAGTAGATCAGGTGTGACTATGGTAAGTAAGCAAGAGCTTGGTAGGAAATGACACCTGAGAAAGAGCTGAGACCCAGATCACGTAACTTGATGGGCAAGCCAGTGAGAGGGTGGAAGCAAATGACATTGGAGAGCCAAGGACCATGTGAGACCTTGTAGGCCATGGTAAGAACTTAATTTTTATTCTCAGTGAGAAGAGAGACCATTGAGAATTTTAGTAAGCCCGTGCATCTAGACTGTGAACTTCACAGGTCTCAGTTCACTCCAACCCCCTTTAGGTTGAGCAGGATAGCTAGAGTGGGCTGGAGCTGGGAATTTCCCTTCCCCAAAGTCAGTTAGGCTCTGATAAAACCCCAGCAGGTTAGCCTCTGATTAAACAGTTTCTCCTGAGGGCAGACCTTGTTAAGAACAACAGAACGCTCTGACGTATTTCAAAATGGTTCCTTTTCCCCACCCACTGCTAGAAACACGAATAGTCACCCTGAGGACCTGTGAGAGCTCCAGGACCCTAAAAAAATTGGGGAGTGGGGAAGAGGCAATGGCTAAGTCCCTCTGACTTGTCCACACTGAGCCTGCAGGTTTACCTACCCTGGTACCGGTTCTATTGGAGGTGTCAGCAGCTACTTTCTGCTCTGGTAAGTTGTGATTCTCTACATTCACCTGCATTCGGTCCCTCCAATTTTGGCGGCGGTAGTATGCCCAGTAACCTTAACTTTTATGGATCTTATGAAGAACAGCTGTTGATTTTTGGTTTGTCTAGCTTTTTACGTGTTGTTAGGACTGGGTAGCAACTTCCAGTATTTTTACATGCCAGTCTGGAAACAAGAAGTCAACAAACATCACGACTGAAAATTTTGAACAGGGTTGTGACATCCCATTAACATTGTTTCACCATGACCTCAATTGTAAAACGTTGTTAGATTTTTGAAGCACAGATTTTTGCCATGCACTGCATCCATTTTCAAGGCTTTTTTTTTTTTAAAGGATATTTAAGTCTGTCAGTTATTTACACTTTAGAAAAAGTAAATTAATTACATAATAACATCCGAGAGAGAGTCCGGGCATGGTGACTCACACCTGTAATCCCAGCATTGTGGAAGGCCAAGGCAGTAGGATCACTTGAGCCCAGGAGTTTCAGACCAGCCTAGTCAACGTAGTTAGATCCAGTCTCTAAAAATATATATATATTTTTTTAAATTAGCCAGGCATGGTGGCATCTGCCTGTAGTCCTAGCTACTTGGGAGGCTGAGGCAGGAGGATTCCTTGAGATCAGAAGGTCGAGACTACAGTGAGCTGTGATCACACCATCACACCCCATCCTGGATGAGAGACTCAGACCCTGTTTCTCAAAAAATAACACCGGAGATCAGCAAAAACTGGAAGCATTTTTAATAAAAAAGGAAGGAATAGAGAGCAGTATGGATAGGTGCTTTGGACAACCAAAAACCTTCATAAAGTAGTTGTCGGGTTAGAGGGGTCAGAGAAGAAGATTCACAAAGTGAGAAAGGAGTTAAGAAATCCTAGACCAGCTTATTGAAGGGGGGGAAATTTTAATTTAAAAATTAGAAAGATTTAAGACATCTAAGACAGCAGCATTTTAATTTTGCCTTAGGCCTAATAGCAACTCAAGTTGCACTGGAAATCATTTTGAGTGCTACTTATTGAAAGTGGGTTGTAGGTTGCCAGTGTCACTGTTAAGAAATTAAGAAGGGAGAGCGTTAACATATTTGTTAAGAATTTCCATTTGAGAGTCAGCCTCATACCCAATCATTCCTTTAATAGTTTTTTAGTTTTAGGGCAAGCCACTTAACCTTTCAAAGCCTATTTTCCCCCTTTAAGCTCTACTTACAGCAACTACGTTTCTGAGTTAACTTCTCATCCAGCCTATTTTTTTTTTCCCCTTCTCATATATCAGAATAACCGTTATCTTCTAGTATTCACTGAATCCATCATAATCTTCATTGGCTCATTCACATTTCACTCCCACTTCTATCTTCTGCCATTCATTTAACAGCAAAAGTTATTAAATATCTTCTGTAGAAATAAATGAACGCCAACCAAATGAGAAAAGCCTGTTTATTCTGAGCCTGCTGTAGCAAGGGAGTGCACCACTTATCACTTGTGTTTTGGCAGAGACTCAAGGCAGGCAGAAGAGTGGGTGAGCTTTCTAGTGGGGAAAAAAGAGAAGACTTCACATCTGCCATGATCACAGGCTGTCATGGAGAAGCTGTGGGTGGGCTAACTAGAAATGGGGACCTCTTGTGTGATTGTTTAGGGGTACATATTTGGCTCTCTCTGGTTGATCCCAAGTTGGAAATAGGGACAAAATTAGGAAAGCTGTCAGTTATTAATGAAGTTCTCGCCATTTGGAGCCAATTGCTATAGAAGTTACTGGTTAGTTTCCTGGATTATCACTAGTGATAGAAATCTGGTTTCCTGCTGGTCTGATTTATACCAGACTGACTTCCTGTGTTGTTTACTGTGAATGAGGGGTTGGCTTCCTAGGCAGGTTGGTACAGGTTGTGTGTTCAAAAAATCCGTATTTACATACGGTCTCTCCTTTGTCCCTTCATATATTCTGTCTCTGACTACTCTGTATCATTCACAATTATTTCAAATTAATATCTTTACCATAGTTTGAAGGTTAATGTCTTTCTGACATGCTTGATTTAGCATCACATGCCATTGGAAGAATTTGGCAGGCTGAAATTTTCATTTTACTTTTTCTAGCACTGATAAACTATTACTCTTTTAACTTTCAGTGGTTACCAATGACACAGGAGCTGAGCTTCCAAAAATTTATTGAACAATCTGACTTACTAGGAGAACTTAAATATGACTTCAATGAAAAAGCTGAATTCAGACACACCGAGACTCAAAGACCTTTTGCCTTTAACTATTATGAAAATGGCCTTGAGAAAAATAGCAAACGCTACCAGGCCCTTGGCCATTTGCTTGAACAATACATTTATGAGCTTATGGAGAAAGTGTGCAAATTAGAAAAAGTTTATATCCCACCTGAGGCTGATAAGGAAGAACCAAGAAGCTGCTTTTTCATGAGTGAGAAAGCATTAACAAACCACCATTCTGCTCTTCTTGTCCTTCTTCAAGGCCACGGGGCCTTTCGAGCTGGTCAGTGGAGTCAGCACGCAATCATACATCACGGTCTCCAACATGGAAGTCAGATACCATGTATTCAAATGGCATTGCAGGCACATTATGATGTCATTGTGCTAAACCCCAATGATAATTTTGTGGAACTAAAGATGGAAAAAGAGTGGAAAGGCCTTTTAACGCAAAATATTGAGTCTTCTTCTCTGAAAATGGTTCAAGGTGGGAGCTTTTTCTCTCTCCAGCATCCTCCCGGATGTATTCCAAAAAGATGCAGCAACACCCCCGAAGAACACATGGCTTACATATGGGATTACTTCATTTCGAAGACTGAAGGCAAGGATATAGCCTTCATTGTACATGGTTATGGAGGCTTGGTTTTTATGGACTTGCTTGTCCGTAGAAGGTGGGAAGTGATGAGCAAAGTATATGCTGTTGCGCTGATTGACTCTGAACATCATGTAGGCCACCAGCTGGGAAGTGATGTACAGTTACTAGCATGGATAAAGCACCACTGCCGTGAATGGGTGACAAGTCCTAAGCCTTTGGATAAACCTGCAGCTACTGTTTTCAAAAGGGAATTTCCTATGGTTTCTGCTGGTACAGAAAAGCACAGCTTAGCCCCTTCCTCTAGCCTTCAGTCCATTTTTAAGTACTTCAAAAAAGCTTTAAAAGCCAAAACAACCATTAATTTCTCTCAAATGCCAATAGCGACTAGAAGTTCCACAAAAAGAAAGCAAAGTGCTTAAACTACTTTTGCCATCTAAGTTTTTGTTTGTTTGTTTGCTTGCTTGTTTTTGTTCTCCTGCAACTTTGCTAATACAGATTCTGGAAGGAAAAAAAACCACTTTCAACTCACACACAATATGATGATCTGGCTTGAGGTTTGATTTGTTACTTTTTATGACCTTTGTTTTTATGAGGCAGGGTCTGACTTTGCTGCCCAGGGTGGTCTGGAAATCTGGCCTCAAGTGAACCTCCCACTTCAGCCTCCCAAAGTGTGGGGATTATAGGCATTAGCCACTGCACATGGCCAGGTTTGTTGCTTTATTTTTTTCTTTCTTTCTTTCTTTCTTTTGTTTTTTTTGTGAGGAGGGGTCTCACTCTGTCACCCACGTTGGAATGCAGTGGCACAATCTCAGCTCACTGCAACCTCTGCCTCCTGGGTTCAAGCAATTCTTCTGCCTCAGCCTCCCAAGTAGCTGGAACTACAGGCGCACACTACCACGCCCAGTAATTTTTGTATTTTTAGTAGAGACGGGGTTTCACCATGTTGGCCAGGCTGGTCTAGAATGCCTGACCTCAAATGACCCACCAGCCTCCCAAAGTGCTGGGATTACTGGTGTGAGCTGCTGCACCTGGCCATTTTGTTGTTTTTTTGAAAAGTGAACATATTCTCTTTTGTAGCTTATTAATGAACTGGGAATTCAGTGCCATCATTGTTTTGCAGTATTTGTTAAGTGTGAAGATCTTTCTTTTGTCAAATTATGGTTTAATATAATGACAACAAAATGGCAATTGATAAAAACTCAATATTGTCAATCTTTGATTTCTATAATACCGTAATAAAATTACAAGTGAACGTAAAAATTAAACATCATGAACAAACTACATTCTTTGTATATGTTTTTTTGTTAAAATTTGTTGTACTTCCTGTTCACCAGGTCTGAAGAAAAAAAAATTTAATTTCTTGGTCTTGTGTGTGTGTTCACTCATATCTTCAACTAATATCTGAGTGTTTACTATGTGCCAGTCAAGACTCGGTGTTTGGGACACAGTAGAAACAGCACTGACATTGCCTTCCTCTTTACAGAGTTTAAATGGCTGAGAAATTACAAATGTGAAGAGTGTTAAAAAGTAAAGGAAGCCGGGTGCAGTGGCTCGCACCTATAATCCTAGCACTATGTGAGGCTGAGGCAGGTAGATCACCTGAGGTAAGGAGTTCAAGACCAGCCTGGCCAACATGGTGAAACCCCATCTCTACTAAAAATACAAAAATTAGCAAAGCATGGTAGCTAGCACTTGTAATCTCAGCTACTTGGAGGCTGAGGCAGGAGAATCACTTGATTCCGGGAGGCTGAGGTTGCAGTGACCGAGATCATGCCACTCCACTCCAGCCTGGGCAACAAGAATGAAACTCTGTCTCAAAAACAAACAAACAAAAAGGTGCCATGGAATATCTAGCATGAGAGCTAACCAGCCTTGGGGTTCAGGAAACATTTCCCTAAGAAAACGTTGTTAGTTTGAAGAGCAATAGTAGTTGTCTAGGAGAACAAAGTCACAGGCAAATGAACAGCCAATGCAAAGGCATTCAGGCAGGAGAAGGCTAGCTCAGCTACAGCTAAAAGATTGAGAAGGAATCATGTGTTCAGAAACAAATGATTTATGACACTTCTTGATATAATTTGGATTTGGATATCTGTCCCCACCCACATCTCACGTTGAATTGTAATCCCCAATGCTGGATGTGAGGCCCAGTAGTGTTTGGGTCATGGGTGTAGATCCCTCATGGCTTGGTGCTGTCTTCACGTAGTGAGTTCTAGTGAGATCAGGTCATTTGAAAGTATGTGACATATCCCTCACCCTCTCTCTCTTGTTCCTGCTCTGCCATGTGAGATTCCTGCTCCCCTTCACCTTCTGCCATGAGTTAAACTCCCTGAGGCCTTCCCAGAAACCAAGCAGATACCAGTTCCAAGTTGCCTGTGTAGCCTGCAAAACCATGAACCAATTAAACTCCTTTCTTTTTTTTTTTTTTTTTTTTTTTTTTTAAATACGGGGTTTCACCATGATGGTCAGGCTGGTCTTGAACTCCCGATCTCAGGTGATCCGCCCGCCTTGGCCTCCAAAGTGCTTGGATTGCAGGCGTGAGCCACCACGCCCCGCCGAATTGATCAAAGATTTACTTTTTTTTTTCTTTTTTGAAGCCTACAGCACCTGGTATTCCCAGGCGATCTCCCATCCAAGTACTAACCAGGCCCGACCCTGCTTAGCTTCCAAGATCAGATGAGATCAGCCGTGTTCAGGGTGGTCTGGCTGCAGTTTTGTTTTTTTTTTAGAGACGGGGTTTCACCATGTTGGTCAGGCTGGTCTTGAACTCCCAACCTCAGGTGATCCGCCTGCCTTGGCCTCCAAAGTGCTTGGATTACAGGCGTGAGCCACTGCACCCAGCCCCCTTTTCTTTATAAATTACCCAGTCTGAGGTATTTCTTTATAGCAATGCAGGAACACCCTAACACAGAAAATCGGTACCAAAGAGAAAGGTGTTGCTATAAAAATACCTGAAAATGTGGAAGCAGCTTTGGAACTGGGTAATGGGCAGAGGTCGGAACAGTTTGGAGGGCTCAGAAGAAGACAAGAAAATGAGGGAAATCTTGTAATTTCATAGAGAGTGGTTAAATGGTTGGTACCACAATGCTGATAGTGATATGGACAGTGAAGACCAGGTTGACGAGGTCTTAGATGGAAACGTGGAACTTAGGGACTGGAGCAATGTTCACACATGTTATGCCTTAGCAAAGAACTTGGCTGCATTGTGCTACTGCCCTAGGTTCTGTGGAAGTTTGAATGTGAGAGTGATGATTTAGGTATCTGGCAGAAAAAATTTCTACACAGCAAAGCATTCAAGATGGGGCCTGGCAGCTGGGAGCGGTGGCTCACACCTATAATCCCAGCACTTTGGGAGTCGAGGTGGGTGGATCTCCTGAAGTCAGGAGTTCCTGACCAGCCTGACCAACACAGTGAAACCCCATCTCTACTAAAAATACAAAAAGTTAGCTGGGTGTGGTGGCAGGCACTTGTAATCCCAGCTACCCAGGAGGCTGAGGGAGGAGAATCGCTTGAACCCGGGAGGCGGAGGTTGCAGTGAGCCAAGATCACGCCATTGCACTCCAGCTTGGGCAACAAGAGCAAGACTCCATGTTGAAAAAAAAAAAAAGATGTGGCCTGGCTACTCCTAACAGCGTATATTCAAATGTGGGAGCAAAGAAATAACTCCAATTTACAATTTATATTTAAGCAGGAAGCGGAGCATAAATGTTTGGAAAATCGTTAACCTGCCCATGTGGTAGAGAAAGAGAAGGCTTTTTCAGGATAGGAATTCAGGTGAGCTGTGGAGTAACCATTTGCTAGAGATATCTGCATAACCTAAAGGGAACTAAGTGCTAATATCCAAGACAGTGGGGGAAAGTCCTTGAGGACATTTCAGAGACATCTGAGGCAGCCCGTCCCATTACAGGCACAGAGGCTTAGGAAGAAAGAATGGGGTGAGATCCCTGTGCAGCCTTGGACACTGCTTCCCACATCCCACCTACTCAAGCTCTCGCCAGGACTCAAAGGGACCCAGGTACAGCGCAGGCCACAGCTTCAGAGGGTGCAGGCCATAAGCGTTGGTGGCTTCTACATGATGTTAAGCCTGTAGGTGCACAGAGTGCAAGAGTTGAGGCTTGGCAACCTCTGCCTGGATTTCAGAGAATATGAAAATGCCTGGGTGGCTAGGCATGGTGGCTCACACCTGTAATCCCGGTACTTTGGGAAGCCAAGGTAGGTAGATCACTCGAGGCTAGGAGTTCAAGACCAGCCTGGTCAACATGGCAAAACCCCATCTCTACAAACAATACAAAAATTAGACAGGCATGGTAGCACATAACTGTAGTCCCAGCCACTGAGGAGGCTGAGATGGGAAGACTGCCTGAGCCTGGGAGTTTGAGGCCACAGTGAGCCATGATCATGCCACTGCACTCCAGCCTGGGCAACAGAGTGAGACCCTGTCTCAGAAAATGAGTGTCCAGGCAGAAGCCTACTGTAGGGGCAGAGCCCTCACAGAGAACCTTTCCTAGGACAGTATCAAGGGAAAATATGGGGTTGGAAGCCAACATAGAGCTTATACTGGGGTACTACCAAGTGACACTGTAAGAAGAGGACCAGTGTCCTCCAGACCCCAGAGTAGTAGAGCCACTGGTGGCCTGCACCCTGTACCTAGAAAAGCCACTGGCTCTCAACAACCTGTGAGAACACCTGTGGGGGCTAGATCCTGCAAAGCCACAGGACTGGAGCTGCCCAAGGCCTTGGGATCCCACCCCTTATACCAGTGTGCCCTAGATGCGGGACATGAAGTCAAAGGAGATCATTGTTGGAGCTCTAAAATTTACTGACTGCCCTGCTAGGTTTTAAGCTTATATGAGGCCTGTAGCCCTTTCTTTTGGCTGATTTCTCCCTTTTGGAACAGGGATGTTTATCCAATGCCTATACCTCTGTTGTATCTTGGAAGTAACTAACTTGTGTTTTATTTTATAGGTTCACACATGGAAGGAACTTGCTTTGCCTCAGATGAGATTCTGGACTTTTGAGTTAATGCTGGAATGAGTGGGAGACTGCTGGAAAGGCATGATTGTATTTTGCAAAGTGAGGTGGACATTAGATTTGGGCCAGGGGCAGAATGATAAAGTTTAGTTATTTGTCCCTGCCCAAATTTAATGTTGAATTGTAATCCCCAGTGCTGGAGGTGGGACCCAGTGCGAGGTGTTTGGGTCATGGGGGCAGATTCCTCATGGCTTGGTGCACCTGGGACTGCTGCAGACATTTGATGCCAGCCTGCGAAGGCAGCTGGGAGGGAGGCTGTACCCGGTAAAGCCACAGGGGCAGAGCCACCCAAGACTATGGGAACCTACCTCTTGCCTCAGTACAACCTAGATGTGAGACATGGAGTCAAAGGAGATCATTTTGGAGCTTTAAGATTTGACTGCCCTGCTGGATTTTGGACTTGCATGGGGCCTGTGGCCAATTTCTCCCATTTGGAATGGCTGTATTCACCCAATGCAAGTACTGCCATTGTATCCAGGAAATAACTCAATTGCTTTTGATTTTACAGGCTCGTAGGTGGAAGGGACTTGCCTGGTCTTGGATGACACTTTGGACTGTGGACTTTCAAGTTAATGCTAAGATGAGTTAAGACTTTGAGGGACTGTTGGGAAGGCATGATAGGTT